GTATCTGTACTTTACTTGAGTATTTATTTTCCTGAAGACTTTTTACTTTTACTTGCTTCATTTGAAAACAAATATCTGTACTGTCTACTCCTTAAATTCTCAAAACTGGCTCGTTACTTGTTTCAACCTCCACGGATGACAACGCGACATAAAAGACATAACACAGAGAGAACCTTAAAGGACCTCACTAAACCATCCAATCTATGGTAGCGACAGGCGGTTTGTAACAAAGGGCAGGGACTAAATCAACGAGAGCACATTCCAACATTTCAACCATTTTTTACTTTTTACTCATGTACTTCAGTACATTTCAGAGCCTGTACTTGGGGAAAGGAGTTGTATAAGTACTTCTACTTTTACCAGAGTCTTCTTTTACTCAAGTATCTGTACTTCTATTTAAGTAAGAATGTGAGTAGTTTTGCCACCTCTGCGTGTATCATGACCAGACGCACAAAAAAGGCTCTTGTCACTTTTTGTCACACCCAACAGGAAATTGGCCATTTTGGATTTAAAATGAAATTTGACACCTGCTATGAAATCGTACTCCTTCTAGAGCTTTCATTAGATCAACTTCAAATTCAATGAGTGTCATCTTAACAACATGGAGATAAAATGTTGTTAAAAGTTTGAGTTTTTGTCACACTGTCTGAAGGTGGCGTAGCGTCAAATTTTGATGACTCACCATCCAAACACAAGTTTGTTGTATCTGAGACATACATGGTCCAATCTACTCCAAACTAGACAAGAGTCCCGGCTAGATAACATCTACACAGAAATCATGACTAAAAATCACAGCACCCATGGTGGCAACAATAAATGTCACAAAAACATTCATGTATTCCTCCTCGTCAATTGATCACAACCCTTTGTCAGAAGGGCCTAAAGACATTGATGATAAAGTCATAAGGAAACTGTGAGTTTTCATCGAAGGCCATGTTAGTGGCGTGGCATTAAATTTCAACATGTCTGTGTCACACAAAATTACTTTAACTTCAGCTTACATTATTCAATCTCCCTCAACCTACGTGTGTAACAACAGCCCCCCTCTGAAGACATTCATATATATTTCTACATTGTGTGTGGCTAAATAGCTGAACAGACCCCATAAAGAGCAAACACGGCACCACAATTAACCAACATATAAAAAAATTGGTAGGGATGTGTCGTTTCATTACCAACTAAAAATTTGGATCGATATGCTAGATCAAATGGGAAGTCGGCCATTTTGAATCAAGTGGCCATTTTTGACCATTTACATATGTATTTTGATGAACTCCTCCTAAAGCTTTCATTAGATCAACTTTAAATTCAGTGAGTGTCATCTTACCTCCATTGAGATTTAAAGTTATTGAACATTTTAATGTATGTCACACGGTGTGAACATGGCATGCTGTCAAATTTTGATGATTTGCCAAAAAAAGTGATTTATTATAGCCTCAAACTTATTTCACAGTCCCGCCCTGATACATATGTCAATATTGACTCATTGACACTGCACCACCTGCTGGCGACAGGAAGTGACATGTTCTATACTTTGATGCACTGCTCTTGGCTGCTTTACAATATACAGCTCAAATGAGCTCAGACAAGTCAGAAGACCTTCACGGTCAGAATTGTGACATTTACTCAAACCGTGTACACACTGAGGTGCGGCGAAGGTTGATCCTTCGACAAAGGAGACGAAGTTGTCATAACTCCACTGTGCATTGTCCAATCAGCCCCAAAATTCTGTCACATGATCAGTCCTGGCCTGAACAGCTCCATATGTCTTATATTAACACAGGGTCATAGTGCCACCTACTTATTTACCATGAAAAAGGAAGTATTTTTCAACTCCACTGTACATTGTCCTATTGGCCCCATATTGGTTATGCTTCATCAGGGCCCCGACCTGAACAGATTTATTTGTAGTAAGCCTCGTTTTACAACTTTAATTTGATTAACATTAATTCTGACCATGTGGTCTTCACTTGATGGCTTGGACTGTAATGAGTGAATTGTAGGTGGTTCAGTGTTGTGTGATGGACACAGAAAGTGAAGCATTTATCCTTCCTGTGCTACGCAACACTCACGCAATACAGAGCCATTTTGCAGAGTCGCTGTCTGCCCTCCCCCGCGGCCCTCTATGTTATTGACTTTGACACCCCTGCTTTATAACATTCCCCAAACAAGCCTTATTTTCTTCAAATTACATGCAGTACATGTATTTCAAACTGTTCAAAAATGGATAGATGTCATTTTAGACAGATATCTTAAATTTTGACTGAAAAGCCTGTACCAAGGTATACCATTAGTTACATACCACAAATATTTTTTTCTTTCTAAGGTGTCATGATCTGCATATAACCTGAAATCAACATTGACCATAACTTCTACTTAAGTTCAGTTGCAGAGCGAAACTGTGCTTCAGTTTCACACATTAATAACTTGTAAAATTTGCAAACTATCTCATAATAGGTCACTACAAAATGGAAACGTTCATTGCGTTACGTTCACCTGTGTAGCCTCACCTGTGACTCCAGAGTGTCTCGTGTCCAGGGAAGGACTTTATCAGGTCTGAGCACAGCTCCATCTCCTGGTGGAAGAGCTGAAAGACGGTGGTGAAGCTGAGTTGCCTCTCCTCCTCACCTGCTGCCTCTGCTTCCGACAGCTCCCTGTTAGCTTGGTTATGGCTTTGATGGGGGAGACTAATGCTAGGGACTGTGGTGGACTGTTGCTCGGATGAACAGGTAGTGGTGGTAGAAGGTGGTGTCTGGTAGAGCTCAGTCATCAGCTCCTTGAGCAGGAACTGGCGGTAGTGGAACCCACTGTGGTCAGACACATGCATGGACACCCACAGACGCATAGAGGACAGCTCATCATGGAAAACCTGTCCAGAAACATACCAGTAAGCACAAGTGTCTTAAAAAAAAGGGCTACTTATTAATGAGGGAAATTCAACATATATTAGAAGATTGGTTTGGTGTTATTTTTACCTTGTGTCGTTTATGCTCAAAATATGTAAATAGGTTTATTAGGTTATAGGACTGCAATATGACTTATTATAAGTCACTCAACAATTGAGATCACCATTATTGATATTGGATATTTATAGTAGTGTAACTCAACAGCACAACAAAAGTTTGAACACAAGTTATGGAATTTGGATGAGAAAATTGGATTGATTAATAAATAGGATTGCATACTGAAAACAAGCAATACCCATTGTAGGCATGAGCAATTTCTTTTTTAAGAGTACCGATGATGTCATAGTAAATATAAAAAGCACCAATTATAAAGTTTGTGTTTATAGTCGCTTCTCAGTTAGGTTAATAACATCGACTCAAAATGTGAATCTTTTGTTAGAATAAAAAACCAAAGCTAAAGGAATGGTAATCTAACAAAATCACTGAATGTCACGCAGGAGTCATTCATAGCACACGTGTTAAAATCAATACTTTTAAACAAGTACTGTGGTGGAAATGTGTCAATAAACGGGTCGAAGAATGTTTCTTTGGTCTCAGAGTGAGTTTTATTGAAGCTTTCTGCAGAAAGGATCTACCAGGTAAGGTGGATGTTGTGAGAGAGATGAAAAAGTGGTGTCTATGCTCATATTTAAGTGCCTCTGTGTGTGGGGGTGTGTGTTCAAATGTGTTGAAATAGACCAAATCAAATAGGTGGAATGCTGACAAAATAAAACATTTAATAGTGTGCTATTTTCTTTGTTCCACTCTGCTTTGTTTATTATAGAGTGAAGTAGAGAGGCTTGATCAAGAGGATCTTGACAGTAGTGGACTAAATGAGGAAACTGAGAAGAATGCAGAAGAAAGAGGTGGTCAGGAGCCCCCCCTTCTAAAAGGAGAATATCCTGTGCACTGGCTGAGCTACTGGGCAACACCTCTGGAGATGCCAGACAGTCACCAGGTCTGGTGCCACCAGAGAAGTCAGCTTTTGACAGAGCAGAGGAGGAGGTGAAAGATTACAGCACAGCTGCTTCTTTGCCACTGTCTGAGAACCCATTAGACGGGTGGAAAGATCATCACCGCGAGTTTCCTCTCCTGGCAAAGCTGGCAAAGCAGTACTTATGTGTGCCAGGCACAAGTGTCTCTGCTGAACGTGTGTTCTCCACGGCTGGGGACATTGTTACAGCTCAGCGGAGCACCCTAATGGCAGAACATGTTGACCAGCTCTTGTTTTTGTACAAAAACCTTGAAACTCCTAAGCACTAGCTCAATTAACAGAAGCAACCAAAAGTAGCAGTTGCCTGTTTACCTCAAAAAGCATTGTAAGTTTTGTTTATCAGTGTTTATCTGCAGTCCAGGGTTTTTTATAAAAGTGTTTCATTTCAAGCATTTTAATTTCAAGGCTTACATTTGTGCTGTTTTATTTTTTATTTTAGAGGCTCAATTTTGGCCAAGTGTTTTTTTTTTTTATCTTACAGCACTACCTCAGAGAGCAGTGTTTATGTGCAATTCAGGGTTTTGAAAAAACTGTTTAATTTGAAACATTTTAATTTCATGACGGACATTTGTGTTGTTTTTTTCTTTTAGAGGCTCTATTTTGGCCAAGTGTTTTATTTTCATCTTATAGCACTACTTCAGAGAGCAATGGGAGTAGTCAGAGCACTTTACTTTATTATTTAAAAACAGGTTAATCTATTGAGCAATTCATTACATTAAGTTATGTTAAAACTAGCCCACATTTGTGCTGTGTGGACATTTCATTTCATTTTTTAACTGTAAACTTTAAAAAATGCTGTACATGTTAAGTACCTCTTTTTGTTTCAGTTGAAATAAATGTCAGCTGCTGGACTGACTGACACAGACTGATGTGCATTGTTTATGGGAACGACATTCATGGTTTATCATCTCTAGAAGTGTATGAAATTAACTTAGAGGAAAAGAACATTGTAATTACTGATTATATCGAATCGCAATACTTGTAGAATCACAATTATCAATAATCGTGATACAAATCGAATTGCCGCCTTTGAATCGTGATACAATCGAATCGTGACCAAAGCATATGGTCCCACCCCTACTAATATAGCATTTGCCCTCTGAAGGACCTGCCTGTTATAATTGAGTTATGTTTGTTATAATAAAGCATGGCCTGACTGCACTGTGTGATCTTACTGGCGATGTTGCCAAGGGTCCCTAGTCTTGTTTTATTTGCCAAATTGACGTTTTCAAACCAGTCAAAAATACAGAAGGTTAAAACTGATTCAATAAAACTTCTGTAGAAGAGTCATTATCTCAGAAAAGACATAAAAAGAGTTAATTTTGGCCTCAACAAAGAAATCAAAATACAACCAAATATTTGTAGCTCTGAATGAGGTGTTGTGATTATTATAGCCTAAACATGGCAACATTAAATGGTTTGCTTTTGGGCCTTTAATCCATTTAAATCTGAAAAATATTAAATATTAAAAATATTAATATTAAATAATAACTTTGATTAATTAACGCTACCTTGGGGCACCACCCTTCAAGGGAAGGGAACAGATAGTCAATTTTACCGATTAAATATCATGAAATTGAATACAAATTTGGAACTCTGTTTAATAATGAAATTAATTACTATAAACAAAATGACCACATCAAGCTAGCAAAGTTGAAGGATATAGAGTTCTTGACAGTGTAGAGGTTGGCAAGATCACACTTATGCAACATTAACAACGACAGCATGTACATTTATTATGAAAATAATAAGTAATATAATAAAAGTATAAACACACAAACTAATTAAAGGTGTACTTACTATATACAGATACACAGATGTGTATGTACGTGTGTGTGTGAGTGAGTGAGTGAGTGAGTGAGTGAGTGAGTGTGCTTTCAAAATGGCAGCTGGCCACAATGAAACAAAAGGTTACACCATGTGGTTGATGTCACACATATGTGTTAAGTTTGGGGAGATGGTCAATCTTATTCCTCAAAGACTGAACAAAAGCCAGAATTATTATAGGCAGAGGACAGCTATTTTTATGCTGTTGCTTCCTAATGAGAAGCAGCACAACGTTTTTTTCCTAATTTCCAGACATAACGTGTCTTTCCAAAGTTATAATCAGTCCTTGTGAAAAAATCCTGTATACAATTTTAATCTAAAAAGGAGTGTGATGAATCTTCCACGGCCTGGCGAAACTCACGTGTGTACCTCAAAGTGTGGGAATGCTGGTGACTCCAAACAAAGTTCAGGATAATAAGAATACCAGGTATCAAATATTAATTCCTGAATAAGCTTCAAATTAAAACAACCTCACAGACATAAAAGAGACAGTATTGTTGAGGATCAGACACAGAATAACGTAATATCAATGTCACGCAAACAAACACTGGCTTCTGCAAATGGTGCTTCCCTCTACTTTTAAATGTATCCTGTGTGACCCCAGATGCTTCATACAATTTGTTGTGTTCCTCTCTTTTATTTCCCCTCTATTTTTTGTGATGCACCCAGAAATGAGAAATTTTCACTCATTATCTGCTCACCACTATGCTGATGGAGAGGTGGGTGAAGTGTTTGAGTCTACGAAACACTTTAGGAGTGTCAGGGGTAAACAGTGTTAGAACAAATTTTACCAGAAGTGGCTAAGCTAGCAGACGTTAGCATTTCCGACGATCCCTGAATATTCTCATTATCATTGGCTGTTCGTGTTGTCTGTCAAAACATGGATGGAATGAGCTCTATCGACACTGTATCAACCAGGAAAGGTTATTTAATAATAATAATCATCTTTATCGTTTTATCGCAAAGCCCTTATACAGAGTCTCAAATATCTTATTAAATAAATCTTGCCTACTGATGAAAATTACTTTAACGGCATTAATGCTGAGCAAGAACTTGTACACAAAACAACCCCAAAATAACTCTACCCACTGTAATGCCTGCACAATAGCTACCATCTCTACTGTGTAAACTGACAAATCATTTGAGGTTCTACTGTTCACTGAAACCTTTAAGTCTGGTATTATGAAACCAAAACCTGTTCTTCCTGGAATAGGATCTTTGGATCCATCTATATGTACTGGAATAAATGTTTCATATAATGTCTACAATCTATGTTCCACCAAGACTGCTGTAGGGATACAACTTCTCTGATTTAAATGACTCTGGCTACTTTTATACTGCTCCACGCACCACTCTTGGCCCCTTCACTCTCCCAAAATAGAAGAAGTACCTTTGTTGTTGGATGTTTATCTTCAGAATGCCTCTGAAGATTTCCCCAGTAATTCATCATCAACTGTTTTCGCCTAAGATGCAAAGGCATTTCACCAACCTCAACCTGAAGAGTAGACACAGGAGTTGTTTTGAAAGCACCACAGCAGAGTCTCAAAGCTTGAGCTTGCACAACCTCCAACTTCTTTAACTATGCTGGACCATAAGCGATAAAACCATTGTCTAGCACAGATCCAACAAGCGCTCCATAAATATTTCTCATTGACAAACTGCTCCCTCCCCATTCTGACCTTGTTAGACATCTCATGACATTAATTATTCTTTACATTTGGAGAGTATGGTGTGTATATGTTCATTCCACATGAGCTGCGCATCAAACCACACTTTCCAAAACCTGAAGACTTTCACTTGCTGTATTCTTTGTCCATACATACTTGACTGTGTATCAACACCCATCTTTCTAGTTTGCTTGCTAAATACAGGTCGTTGTTTGATCCCAGTCTTCCCCATCTGCATGCCGGTGTGTCCTTGGGCAAGATCCTGATATATTGTGTTTTAGGTCTGCTCTTATTTATTATCATTATAAATATTCTGGGTCAAAATGTGTCTTGTTGTGGATAATCTTGGATGAGCTTGACAGACATGCAATGTATAATGAGATACTTTGTTTTTATGCTGATGACACTGTATATAGCTCTGAGGCAACTCGTGTACAAGCCGTGGAACCGTTGCAAACAGCGAAAATACCTTACTTGAGCTGAAACTTGTTCTTAACACAGATATGATAAAAATTATGGTGTTAGGAATAGACCACAAGCTATCCCTTCAGTGGTCACTCTTGATGGAAAAGAGGTGGTTAATTCTTATAAATATCTAGGTACTCTGATTGATGACTCCTCCACTTTTAAGCCACAGGTGCAGCACTTGTAAGAAATGTGACATGTTGCTGCAACTTTTTTTATTTATACTTGATTATGGTGATATCAGCTTACCATGCCTCCCTGAAATGTATCACAAATTCTATAGCTTTGACTCATCACTGTGAATTATATTCTCAGGTAGGATACCACCAAGGCGATTCTGGGCCTGCTCCCTTATTACCTGTTGGCTGCATTATGCAGAAATGTTTTGGGCATTACTCTATTCATTTTCAGAACTTCAATTGGGAAAAGGGCTTTTGCTTATTCCGCACATGCAACTTTGAATTTATTACTTAATTTCACCGGAGGCAGATTCTATAAGAGGTTGCTGATTTTAATTTAACTGGTCGTGTAGCTATAATCTTTTTTCTTCTTTTGATCCTGTTTTAGTATGTGCTTTTTTTGTTCGTAACTATGTTTTTATCTGTGCTGCTGTCTATCTTGGCCAGGTCTCCCCTGAAAAGAGATTCTTAGTCTCATGAGACTTTCCTGGTTGGATAAATAGAAACTGAACCCTGAATTGCCCATTCTCATAGAAAAGAACTGCTGCACATAGATGCACTGTATGAATGTGTGAAAAACTGTACTATAAAGCACTTTGAGTGGTCATCAAGACTAGAAAAATGCTATATAAATAGAGACCATTTACCATCTACATTTAAAGTTAGACTTAAAACGTTCCTTTTTGATTAGTTATGTTGTGCTGCTATGTAATATTATGCTGCTATAGGCCTAGACTGCTGGGGGATCCGCAGTCATGCACTGACCACTTCTCTCTCTCTCTTTTCCACACACCTCTCTACTCTTCCAAATTTTTCTCTGCTTACCCCAACCGATTGAGGCAGATGGCCAACCACATTGAGTCTGGCTCAGCTAGAGGTTTCTTCCAGTAGGGAAGGAGTAGCATTCGCTTCTTGTGTGAACTGTTGGGCTTATCTATAATATGTAAGGTCTCAACCTTGCAATAATAAGTGCCTTGAATGTATGTTATGATTTGGCACTATACATTTTTTAAAATTAATTAGACTATGTGAACATGCATAAAGGGTGTGTGCAGCAGTGCAAATCCGTGCATCATATTTTACAGAGGAAGAATGCGTGTTGATTGTGAGCGGATATGAAGAGCACTGACAGTGTCCAATGGCAAAATAGTGAGAAGACACTGAATTCCTATGATTGTGGGAGACCACCAGATTCTGATAATCTCTAAATAACTACGCTTGCTGAGTGAGCCTCTCACAATCATCTAACATCGACTGGGTTTTAAGACTGTATAAAGAGAGCGATGCTTTTGCAAAGTAAACCGAGTTAACAAAGAACAAAGATAGCTTGTAGCAGTTTTGAGTTGCAGAGTAAATGGACATGGCAACATTTCTCCTTTTGTATTACTGCTTAATTATGGAGTTACTCTTGACGTAACCTCACTTTATAGTACAGGACCAAGGAGGTGAACCCAGGAAATAAAATTTCACTGTCTTTATTATTGCAAGATAGGATATTTTTAAACATTTTTAGCGATTTCTTAAATAATTCATGGATCTTCATTAAAAAAGAAATCCAGATCTAGTGAATTTAAATGTGGTTCCATAAGGGGACTGTTGGGCCTCAGAAGAGGTAAGCACTCTCTGAGTGCCCTTCTAATTATTATATGCAACCACAATGTCAACTTTGATGCTGGCAAAGTCAAGCTAGGCGGGCTATGGCTGTATTCATAGAGTCTGGAGTTACAGTACATAAACAATGTTCTCAATTTTCCTGGCTTTGGTCATTAAGGTAGACAAAGTGGTTTTTTGTTTGAAAATGTATTTTGCAGAGTCGGGGCAAAATAACTTTGGTAGCCAATCACAACAACATTGTAATAAACATTTGCAGGTTTACTCATGAACATAATGCCATGTCAGAGTTGGACCTGTTTGTCATTTACATATTAATATAATCAAATGTAAAGTTAGCGATTGTATTTTATGCAATCAAAATGTGCCTGTTAGTGCATGGCATTGTTCCAAAAAATATCCTAAAGGTTCTATTTCTAGGGTAATTTGGTAATGGTAAGTTTGTTAGGTGAGAGTTTGATGAGAAAAACAAAACTTTGTGTGTTGAGTAGGAAAGTACATTCAATTAATCCTTAAAAATATATAAATAAAGAACCTATTCTCTGTCCTACCTTGACATTCCCCTTGGCCATGTGCTGAAGCACCCAGATTCGGTGAGACCAGGCATTGTAGTTGCTGGAATAGTGGCAGGCAGCATCAGAGCACACTTTTATCTCTTGCTGGAGTATCCTGGACAGATGGTCACTAAGTTGCTGGCTCCTCTCACTATCAGCCTGTGCTGCTTCGCCCTGCTGCTGCTTCCTGGTGTGGCCCACAGCAGAGAACTGATGGAGGATCTGCTGGAGCACCCAGCGTCTGTAGGGAGACATCAACTGCTGAGTAACCTGAGTGAACCAGATTCCTATTTTTGGTCCCACACACTGCATGCAAATATGAGGAAATTTGACCTCTGTATTTAACCCATCTGTGTGAACGGAGCACACATGGAACACATGGAACACATGGAACACAATCCACACAGTGACCACACACGGAACAGTGGTCAGCCATGAAGGCGCTCGGGGAGTAATTGGGGGGATTCGGCGCCTTGCTCAAGGGCACCTCGGCAGTGCCCAGGAGGTGAACTAGCACCTCTGGTTCCCAACCCAAGTCGCTATGGACTGTGCTACTGCCTCCCCCATGTCAGTAATTATGCTATAATGAATAACATTGTATACCATTAGCAATGGTATACCATTAGCAATGGTATACAATGTTATTTAAAAAAAGAGACAGAAACAGTGCAATTTATTTCAAAATTTTATTTTAATACTCTCCCATGAGGATTGTTTTACATATCAGTACATACATAGTGTGGCGGTGGGGTGTGGTTAGGGCGCCAACTGCTGGACAACAGGGAGGAGTGGCTCAGCCGGTGATCGGACAGTTGTGCAGAATCAGGTAATCAGGCAATCAATAAGAGCATGCTGGTAACCTGGTTCTGGTCTCTTGCAGTAGGCTGGGCTCCTGAAGCTGGAGCAGCCGCGACGACGTGGGTGGACATGGGTGGACGTTTGTGGACATGTGTGGGTCAAGAGACCCGGTGTATATGTGCTTGCCTAGTTCGGTCCAAGAACGCGCATGCACGCACGACTACAGTCCCCTTTTCTGTTGCATTGCTTAAATGCAGAGCACACATTTTACAGCAATCCGCTCAACAGGAAGAAATGATGGGTTTGAGGTGGCTGTTCCCTGGAAGCTCCAAAGTTCTACTGGCTTTCCATAGAAATGTCTGTCCGTATTGGGTTAAAGCCAGGAAAATTGGCTAATGATGTGTTTGGATGCATACCTTTTCTCATGACATTAACAAATATGTACTGCTTAATAATAGCCGATCATGGTTCTGTTAGAAGGTCATTGATGGGTTCTTCAAAACTGTTACTGTTTGCACCTCACTGAGCATATCGTATGCTAACCTTTCTGCTCTAGATCCATCTATAGAGTAAATTAAATTAAAAAAAGTTACTCTTTTTTAAAAGTCAACCTCTGTGATACAATTTTCAGGATAAATCTGAAGACACATTTTCAACATTGCATGTCTGTCAAGCTCATCCAAGATTATTATTTGGAATGGAGACAGTAGCACCATTGTACAGTTTTCTAAGTGGAGTCTTTCTGCTGACACCAAAATACTGTGCTTCACATAAAACATATCAGCTATGTCATGCACAACCATTTTTACCTTCCAAAATACTGGCAAATTCAGCACCATATTCACATATCCATGGTATCCTGAGCTGTTGACTCTGCTGATACTGCCTCATAATTTGGACTTAAATTGTCCTACTGTTGTTATTACCCCTTCCCAGTATTCCATTAAAACACTCAAATGAAAAACCCTTGTGCATAGTAGTCCAACAGGCACTCTTTCAATTGAAGATGTAAATGCATGTTGTTTGTGCAGTGCAATGGGCCAAATAGTTCGACAAAAAAAAAAGGTCTGCAGGTATCTTTCTGCTAATTCCAGTCTCTTGATGGATATGGCTCTGGAGCAGAATATGATACAAGCCTGCACACAGTCAAACCACATGTCATAGTGTCTGCTGTCAATAAGCCCCTTCAGACAAAACAGGGAGTAAATGGATGTCCTGTTTTTCCACTCATCTGCTGTAAATCCTCTAAAACCAGATGAAATTCGTCGGGGAATTCTTCCAACCTCATAAGGTACTTTGATGTTCTCCATTCTAGTTTGAAGTTCATCAAGGCTCTTTGTTGTTAAAAGCCCTAGTTCTGTACATACTCGCAATACAAGTCTTTCTGTACCAAGGAGAAGGTTGTGCATTGGATCTATGACAACAAATCTGATGCCGTTTCTGACCATCTAGCTCCATACTGGTTTTCAATTATTTTCTGTTCTTCGTCCTTGCCCATCTGGATAATTCAGCATAGTGTATGTGATCCTCTGACGTGCGTGACTCCCATGAAGACCGCTCAAATCCAGAGTAGTACATTTTTGCTCCAAATTCTTTCTTGCTTGATTTTACTGATTCAACTATAAATATTTATTAATTATATATTGCAAAGCACATCTGTGAATATTTCAATTACCTCTGTATGCTCCATGTCCAACAAAACCTCCACATTTTTGAGGTGCAGGGATATCTGATGACAGACAAAGCAGAGCTGTTCTGTAAACCTGATGTCCTGTGAAAGAGCTGTCTTTCAAAATTGTGACATTCCAAAGTTCTTGGAGCTCAGCAACCAAGGGGTCTAAGAAAACATTTATGTTAAGTGATGGCTCCTTTTGTCCAGGTATTAAAAAGAATCATATTTTCTTCCTTAAAACAGTCTTCACAAGGTAGATTCAAAATGACCAACTAGATGGCTCCAACTGAATATGGTGCATTATTGAAAGGTTGAAACCAGTCAGCATTCAGCATCAGGCCAAATTATTTGGCTCTCCTAAAAGAGGCTATCTCTTTACATTCAAGAAATCCTGCCATACTTGTCCATTAGGATTGTTCAGTATAGCGGTACTAAATTGGTACCAGGGTACTGATGCATTTAAAATGGTACAATACAGCGCTTGAATAAGACCGGTACTTTTTTTTTTTTACGTCGCCACATACCAATTTGAGCCAAAGAGAGCAAGCCGGGTCGAGCAAGCGAACGAGTGAGCAGCGTTGAGCAGTAAACGGAGCAAGAGTCTGGCGACAGAGAGAGATAAAGGAGAGAAAGAGAGAGAGAGACAGGAGCAGAGAGAGAATGGCAGCTGCTGCAACCATCACCATGACGCAACTCTAGATAAACAAGGTGCACGAAGTGCTATATGGAATTACTTCGGCTTGAAAACATAGGAGCACGGTGAAGCCATTAACACTGATGCACCACTGTGCAAACGGTGTAACAAAACATGTGTGGCCATGGGTGGAAACACTTCCAACTTGGCAAAACTGTCACGGTTGTGGTTTTGTTTGGTCACGTTTTGGTGTATTTTGTCACGGTTGTGTATTTTCTGTGTTCCTCTCGTGTTCCCTCCTGTGTTCCTCTCATGTTCCCTTCTGCCTTCCTCTGTGCTCCACCCTGTGATTCTCCTGTGTTGTTCTGTGTCCCTCTCCTGTGTTCCCCTCCTTGTCCCTCGCTATGTTTCACCCTGTGCCTCTCCAGTGTTCATCCCTGTCTTGGTTATTGTATTTGTGTTCTCGTTGATAAGTTTGTTCAGTGTTTCCTGTTTTATTTTGTAGTCCTTGCTCCCTGTCGGTTTTCACCCTTTGACTTCCTGCCCTCATCAGGTTCACCTGTTTGTCTTGTGCCACCTGTCCCCAGTTACTAATTAGTTCAAGTGTGTATTTAAGTCTTTGTGTTCCCCCCATGTGGTTGTTGGTTCGTCGTTTCTGGTCAGGTACTGTTCGTCATCTCGATTCTGGTCATGTTCTGTTCATGTGTCCCGTCAGCTCTCGTCACGTTTCCCCGTAAGTTTGTTTCCTGTCCTTCCTGTGTTCCACTCCTGTTTTTGAGTGCGACTTTTGTTTCTTGAAGATTTCTTTTGTTACGTTTACCCCTTTTAAATAAAATACACTTTTTGTTAAACCATATTTGGTTTCTGCGTTTTGGTCCTTCCCTTCCCTTCTTTCCTACCACGTCTGTTCCCTCCCCACGCACCCCCAAAACTTGACAAAAACACTTGAAGGAAAAGCACCCAGACCTGCACAAGGAGTTCAGAGAACGACAGGTAATAACTTATATACCCATTAAAAAAAGCCACATTCAGTGCTAAAAGCAAGCAACGCCAGCCCCCTTCACTCTCCACAAAAGTAGCTCAGGAAAAAATTTAAGCCTGTCTTTGTGGTATTTTATTTTATTTACTGATGCATAATGTTATAGTTCTAAGATTTTCTATTAAAATAATTTGTGTTCTCTTTTTATTTGGAAAAGTACTGAAAAGTATCGAAATACATGTTGGTACGGATACCAAAATGTTGGTACCGTGACAACACTTTTGTCCATGATTAAAATCTCCTAACACATCCGTTTATAGTTCCCACTTCTTTTAACAAGTGCTCCCACAGACTGAACAACACTCTTGTAACAGCAAGGCCATATTGGATAGACATAATCTTTACCGCTGGAAAATGTTGCTTTTCTTAGCAAGACAGAGCCACAGAGAAGAAAGAGGGTAAGATAAGATTCATTAGATAATTTTCCAGTTACATTTGTAGGTGAATTGTGTCATTGAACTGTGCTGATTATACTGATTCTGTTTTCAGCTCCTTGAAGCGAGGCAAAGTGTACTGGTGGCAGATGATGTGGAGTTCTGGAGGGGGGAACCCCATTTGACATGATGTCCGAAAAGGAGGACAATACCTATGGGGGGGTGTCTGGGTAGATAGTGTGGCCTCCATCCTTCCACAGCCAGGAGCTTGACAACCTGTGTGCCAAACTTCTAACAAGACTAGAAGCTAGTCTGAAGTACAAAGCTACACAAGATAGACAACCATAGTCTTCACACTAAAGCAAATTATTATTATCTTATAACAAAGTCACTGATTGGCAGATAATAAAATGATTTGGGTACCTTGCTGTTATGTTATTGAAGGTTGTACCTTGCATTACAATGAAAATGAAGACCGTAAGCAAGCTATAACGTCCACAGAAGTAGAAGACAGCTGGAGGCAACGCAAATCCAGTCAAAACTGTCCTCACACCCAGTTAATTGTTAAAACTTTTTTATCGTTGTTTTTACTGTTAGTTTTTACTATTGCATACAAAATGAAAACAAATTCTATAATAATTTAATTTTAGCATAATTTTAAATAAAAAGAGAATGTTTTTTTTAAAAGAAACATTTAACACAGGGGTGGGGAACCTTCAAGAGT